CGGGGGAGGGGGCAACACAGCGGCCAGGTAATACGTATTGCCTATTGCCCCGCCAAGTTGCCTAATGCAGCGTTAGTGTCATTTACCCGTTCCTGGCGGGCCTGGCCAGGGCCTGGCGGGCCTCGGCTTCGCGGCGCAGGGCGGCAAGGCCCAGCGGAGTGCGGCCGCGGCTCGCATGTCGGCCCGGCATTAGACTGGCTCGGCTCCCCTCGCTAGTTTTCCCACTGTAGTTCCGCGGGGGGTTGGTCGGATCGGACCGCCACCGCGCTCAGTGCGCGCCGCGCACCCCCACTTACGGTGCACCACCTACCTAACCACCCCCCGGCCCCCTGGCACCGGGCCTCTCTCCAGGGCCTCCCTGGCCTGACTTGCCGCGCTAAGTGGCTCTCTGACTGGTTTATTCTGCATTTTCTGGCCGCATTACATTTCCGCTTCGCGTGTTGTTGTTTTGGTGGTGGTGGTGGTGGTGCTGGTGGTGGTGGTGCTGGTGGTGGTTGTTGTTACGGTGGTGGAGGTGGTGGTGGTTGCTGGTGCTGTTATGACTACGGTAGGGAGGGCGGCCCGGCCAAGTGACGGGTGAAAGAGAGAACACGGGAGAAAACAGTGTCATGACAGGTACGCCTCATGACTCTGGACATGGCGATTTGCAACACATACCCCGACTGTGTGTGTGTGCGTGTGTCTGTGTGTGTGTGTGTGTGTGTGTGTAGGTGTGTGTGTGTGTGTGTGTGTGTGTGTGTGTGTGTGTGTGTGTGTGTGTGTGTGTGTGTGTGTGTGCAGGGGGCTTGTTGCGGGCAGTAACTCACGTCGGCGAGGCGCTTTGGCGAGGCGGCTCGGCTCAAAGGATTGACGCCCACCGACCCCCTCCACTCCGCCGCCACCACGGTGCAGCACGGTGCAGCACCACGGCCAGCACCACCAGCGCCGAGCACGCGGACGCGGGGCGCGCGGACTGGCCTCGGGAAGGGAGAGGAATCCCAGACCCTCCACGACGTACCACGACGTGCAGTGCTGCAGCAATGCCGGCAATGTGTACGGATGCAATGCATGCATTTCCGCACTCTGCGTGAATACGGCAGTGTCGTTTGATATTCCCGCGGCTTCGTTTGCCCGTCGAACGCCTGGAAAATAACGAAGTACTTATTTGCAATCCGGGACGGCGCCGCCGCTGTAAAATAAAAATATAAATGGAAATGAATGAAAGAAGTTGGCGTTCTCGAGCTGTGTTTCTTTTTCCTCGGCGCGGCCTTGATTCCCTCTCGGGGCCCTAACCAACTGGACTATACAAATCCGCCGGACACTACCGGACATGAAAGGGCCGCCGCGCCGCCTCAGAGCAAAGCAGGCCGAGCCGTGGCCGAGCCGGCCAGCCGTGGCCTCAGGCTGCCTCGGGCAAAGCGGCAAAGCCCGGGCGAGAGGCAAGGCCCGCCGTATTTACGACGCATTGTGCACAAAATAATGTCAAGTAGTAACGTCGGCACTCCATATTGATAGAAATATAGGGATATCTGGTCGCGCTGGACGCGCTGGACGCGGCGTTGTTGCAAGGGAGTGACGCACTGCTCGGCGGCCTTGTCTTGGAGGCCGCCAAGGCCTTGGAGCTTGAGGGGGAAGCCGCCCATACGTTGTTGGCTGCGTTTACCCGGGCGTTTCATCCGCCGTTTCGGGTGAGCGATGCGATGAACGTGCGGGGCGTTGTGTCGCCGCCACTATGTAGAGCCCCCGACTTCCCGGTTCGGGGCGTCCTCGCCGTCCTCGCGGTCCTCGCCGTCAGCGGCCGTTTTGGAGACGAAGGTCGTCGTCGTCGTTCCGAAGTTCCGTTGTCGGCGACACTGTCTGCGACACTCTGTCGCGCCGAGGAGTGCGGAGTGACACACTGTCGGGCTGCTTGCTAATCCTCCGGATGGCAACTCGTCAACTTCCCGGCCTTCAACGGCCCGGGCCATGTGCTGCAGGGCGGCGCGGGGCGGCGCGGGTCGGCGCGGGGCACCCCGCCAGCCTGTCGCCACCGCGCGGCCAAGCACACAATCGCCGTCGCTCAGGTGTCTCCGGTGCGGGTAAACAGATTTCTGCCCTCTATTAGCCGGATAGCCGGCCTGTCCGGCCTGTCCTTCTGCGTATTGTGAATGTAACGGTGCCGCCGTGACGTCCGCGTCGTCCGCCCGTCCGTCCGGCTGGCCGGGCTGGCCGGGCTGGGCCCGCACTGCAAATTGGCGGTGACAGCTCGGCCATATAACCCCAACTGGGGCCCCATTTCCCTTACATTTCCCCACTCCGCCATTCAGCGAACAGATAGTGCAAAGTGCGGCTGACCTGCCCCCTTCCCACGACAGGTCCAGGCGGGTCCAGCGTCCAGCGGGCCGGCTCCGAACAAAGCGTTCGTCGCTCTGTCTCTCTCGCACTCGTGGGGCGTCCCGTAGGGGTGCGAGAGAGACAGAGCGATGGAAGCGCTCTGCAGCGCACTACACTGCACTGCAAGGCACTGCGGGTCCAGACGCTCCGCATGCCTCGGCCATGCCTCGGCCGTGCCTGGCATTGTCCAAGGCCGATAACCCAGCCCGGCCGGCGCCGCCGGGATTAGCAGGGTCTTCTTCACGAAACGGCACGTCCGGGAAACAATGCGGCGACGGCCGGCGGGTTGTCGACGTTGTCGACGTTGTCGACGGCATGCTCGAGCCGAGCATCGAGCACGGCACTGCCAGGGTGCCGCCAAGTGCCATAACAAACAAACTCCGGGCAGGACCGGCGGGGCTGGCAGGCTGGCCGGGCCGGCGTGGCGGGGCTCAGCCACGCTGGCGCGCTCCCACGCTTGGCCAGGACGCGTCACTGCAGTGTGGCAGTTTCGGAGCGGAGCGCGGAGCGGCACTTCGGGGCTGTTTGCTGGTTTGCTGCTGCTACTGGACGGACGCGCATTGTCTTGTCACCGCCGCCGTTGCCTGATGATTCCAAGAGTCGCTTTCTTCGCTCTGTCTCTCTCGCACCTATACTGGACGCCCCATGAGTGCGAGAGAGACTAGCAGCCTGCTGGACTGCCTGATGACGTGCGTCGCGCACGTGGTGCATGCCATGGCACACCGCGCCGTCGGCCTACCGTCGCCGTCGGCGCACCGGGGCGCCGAGTTGCCGCGGGGCTTGCGTACAATTAACTCGTGTGAATTAATCCAGAAACGCGGCGTGAAAGCGACGCGGGGCGACGCGCGGCGACGCGAGCGACGCGAGGGCCGTGGGACGTTTCACGACACTGTGCTGCAGACACCGATTCCGAGAGGCGTTTTCGTCGCTCTGTCTCTCTCGCCCTCATGCGGCGTCCCGTGTAGGTGCGAGAGGGACAGAGCGACGAAAACGACTCTCGGAATCAGTCCTGCCGGCGAGGCGGCGACTCATGGGCTACGCGACGGACTCATGGCGGCGGGAAATGGAACGGAATGGAGCGTCTTTTATTGCGAAGCCGAATGCAAAGCGCAGAGCGCGACGCGCGAGCGAGGCAACCCCGGCATTAAACTTTATCGTTTTCATTTTCTGCGCCAGTTGCGCGATGTCTCGCGTCGCCGCTCGGCCCCACGCCGCGCCGCCGCGTCCCGTTGTCCGCCACGTCCCAGTTGTCAAGCCGGATCGTCATTTCCAGCGTTTAATTGGCTTTCAGCCGAAAAAGAAACTAAGAAAATCGCATGGAAAGGAGATGCGCGCGCACGCGGCTGTGGGACGCCGTGCTGATCATGAAGCTCGTTATGATCGTCTCCGATCGCCATCGGCGAGGCCCTAGGGCCCACACACAAGAGGGCGCTAGCGGAGCGCCCTGAGCCCCCGCGGCCCCCGCGGCCCCCGCGGCCCCCGCCCGGCGAGTCACTCGAGTCCCCGACCCTGGCTCAATTAGTGAAGGAGCCACGTTTGTTGGTAATGGTCGCTGTCTCATTTTGTTTGGGGAGTGGGGGGCGCGGCCCCGCCACCGCCCCGCCACCGCCCCAACGCACCGGCTCATTGGCTGCCGCGCTAAATATACATCCAGCCCGTAATTAGCTCACGAAACAGATTTCCGGTCGAGTCGTTCCATCCGCAAACGCGACGGCGGAGCCGGCGGGCTGATTCCGCGCGGCGCTTTCGTCGCGCTGTCTCTCTCGCACCCATGGGGCGTCCCGGCGTCCCGCGGGGGTGCGAGAGAGACAGAGCGACTGGTTCGAAAGGTAGCCTGCAGCGTCGCGAGGTCGCTGTCTCGTTTGCCCACGCCGTCACCGCCAATCTCACGGGCGGCGTACTTCACGGCGTGACTCGCCGGGGAGGGAGGGACGGAGGGAGGATGCGTTCGTGTCTTCGAGTCTTCGTGTCCGACAGGGCGACGGCGAGGAAGCGACGTGGCGGCGAAACGTCAAGCGGCCCTGTTGTCGCTCGTTTTTTGGTCGTTGTTTGGAAAAGCGGGCAGCGGAACATGTAATAATGAGTGATGCTCGGCAAACACGGCGACTCGCACACTCACACACACACACTCACACACACACACACACACAGACGCACGCACGCAAGCGGACACACACACGAGTGCAAGTGGTGGGGGCATATAAACCTTTCGGCTCATTTTTTGTCGCTACAAAGTGGAGAGAAAGAAGTAATGAGCATAAAGAAGCTAGCTTGATAAGTCACTCCGGGCCGCGCCGTAAACCAGCCCGCCGTTGTCAGCAACTGGCCCGACAACAGCCTGGCGCAGCCTGGAGCCGCTCAGCTGGGCACCCCGCGGACCCCGCCGCGCCTCGCCCCGCGAACCCGCGACGCGGCCAGTCGGCCGGGGAGCGGGGGACGGTGGGCGGGGCCTGGGCCTCGCCAGTGAGCCAATGGCGGCGTGGCCGGTGCCGCGGCAGCGGGTGGGGCGGCGCGGCCGCGGTCCGCGGCGGTGGGGGCGGCTGGCCCTAGGCTGCCTTACACTGGTGGGGGCGGCTGCGGCTGCCGCGGCGTGGAGGGGGTAGCCCGGCAGGCGGCGACGCCCGCCCCGTCAGTCCAGTGCAGCCCGGCCCGCGGAGCGAAGCAAGCGCAGCAAGTCTCGTCCGAGAGAGCCGTGCCGCCAGCGTGCCGCCAGCGCCGCGCGAGCCGAGGCAGTAGTGCAACCCCGTGTAGTGCGCGTGTGCCGTGTGTGACAGTGCAGTGACAAGTGTGACGATAGTGCGGCGTGCCGATGACGCGCCCATGTTGATGAGCGTCGCGCCGATACGGGTCCCCCACAAGGTCCCCCAGGTTCCCCCCATGTGCAGCACCACCCTCATGGAGGCGACCAGCGACGAGCTACCGCGGCCGCCTCACTTTCTGCTCAACAACAACAACAACAACACCAAGTCCTTGGTCGTGGGAATGGCGCCCGCGTCCCCGGAGGACTCCGCGACGAGTGACGAACGCGTCGGCCCCCACGGCGCGCCCCTCAGCCCCTGCAGCCCCGGCGGCCGGTCGACCAGCAGCCCCGCGCGCTGCGAGGACGACGACGACGAGATCTCGGTGGGCTGCCCGTCACCTTCGCCGCACGCCGCCCGCGATGACAGGATGTCCGACGACGAGGAGGAGTACCACCGGCGCCACTACCGGAGTGGGTCGTCGAGCCCCGAGCACCGGCAAGAGGACGACTACTTCAAGCCCCTCAAGAAGCTCAAGATGATGCAGATCAACAAGCAGGCCCGCAAGCTGAGGCGGCAGTCCGCGTCCCCGCCGACGTTGCCCACCCCGTTGCCTCCCCCGCCCCCGCCGGCTGTGGCGGCGTTCGAGTCGGAGCAGACCCCCAGCGGCACGTCGCCGACGGGCGTCAAGTCGTTCAGCATCATGGACATCCTGAACCACAGGCCGCGGCCGGCGCACAGCCCCGTGCCTCCTCCGCCCCCCGTGGCCGTGCCCTGCCCGTCGGCCGCGGCGATGCACCGCGTGGACGCCGCGCACGCCGCCGTCGGCTTGATGCTGCAGAGCCCCGCCATGCTGGCCGCCGCCGCGTCCGCCGCGTCGCGGATCGTCCGGCCCTGGGACTTCGGGGGCATGCTGGACCCCGCCATCATGATGGAGCGGATACACCAGCAGCAGCAGACACTGCGCCGCCACCAGCAGCACGTCCAGCACGTGCAGCAGCAACACCTCCACCTCCAGCAGCAGGCCGCCGCGCACCACCAGGCGCAGCAGGCCCTGTCGCTGTCCAGGCCGCAGTCCGCGGACCTGTCCTCGTCGGCGTGCTCGTCGGGGAGGTCGTCCACCGCCAGCGACTGCTGTTCGCCCAGCCCGGACGTGCGGCGGCAGCAGCAGCAACAGCAGGGCAAGGACGGCAACTCGCCGCTCGACGCGCTCTTCCAGATGACCAGCAAGACCTTCGACGGGCTCAACGGCGAGCAAGCAGCAGGTAAGCCTCGTCCGGCGTCCGTTTCCTGTTGCGTTTTGTTTATTTGTCAGCGTCGCTCCTGGCGACGCGATCGCTGACTCGCCCCGCGTCTAGGTCTCCATTGGTCTCCATGCAGCCGGCCAGAGCGACAGGCCGACAGGCCGACAGGCCGACGCCGTGGTGCGGGCCAGCCAGGCCAGCCGCGCGCGGCGCAGTCCTGCGGGTTGCTTGCCTCACGGCGCGAATAGCGGCGATTGCGATTGCGATTAATGCCTGGACCACAAATGATCGTCTGGCTTTCGGGCCCGCCCGGCCATGTCGGTGATACACCAGCACATGACGGGGCGTCCCTACTGAGAGGACTGGTTTTCTCGGTAGACCGGCACCTCCGCGAATAGCGGCGCTCTGCAGCACGCCAAGCACAGGCACGCCTTGGCGGACACACTTTGTTGCCATTTGTCAGCGCGGTTCTCGCGGCGCCGCGTCGGTGTCGTGCCGCCGGTGACGAGACAAGGCGTCGCACACCGCCTCCGCGCGCCGCGCCACGCCACGACGGCGGCCCTGATGGCCAGCGCGTTAGCCCCGCGGCACGACGGCGACGTCCTCAAACGAGGCGACGCGACGCGACAAAACGCCGGCCGCCGCGGACACTGAATTTTTCGCCTCTTCTTATTTTATTTTTTTCCGCCCGCGGCTTCGACCATTTGAATGGAGCGCCGAATGGAGACGTCGTCGTCGCCGGCGGCGGCGTCCCGCATCGTCATGGAGTCGTGGCGTCGTGGCACCAAGCGCCGTTGTCATGGTAACCGTGTGACGCGGCGTCCCGCTTCGCGCTTCGCGCCTCCATGTGCGTGATGACAGCCCGTAGGCAGGCAGGCCCGTCGCGTCGGCCCGGCCGAATCAAGGAGTTGTCACTTGTTGACGTCGGCGTCGAGTTACCCGGGCCGCCCCTCCTCGCCCGCCGCGCTAACAGTGATGCCGCGGTTATCATTGTGATTGGCACATCCGACTGGCAGCGCCGTGTCTTGTCGCGTCCGTCGGCGCGCTGATTGGTTGATGGCCGCCGGCCATGGCGTCTGTGTGTCCAGTGTGGCGGTCTTCCCCCTTTTCCCACTTCTCTCCGATTTCCGGCCAGGGCCACGAAATGCGACGGGCGCGACGGACGAGATTGTTGCAGCGCTGTCACTCGGTGTAACAGTGTAACGCGGGGCCTCGCGGCGCTAGGCGGCGACCACGGCCCGGCGGCGCCGCGTCGGCCGCGTCACCGAGACCAGACCGCCCATCGCGCAGCAGCGGGCCTCGGCCCTCGCCGTGCCGAATCGCACATTTGAAGCATTATTCACGTTCAATTTGGGCGCGCTCGGGCACGGGCTTCGGGACCCTTCTTCGGGTCCTTTGGGAGCCCTTCGGGGGGGCCGGGCCGAAGGTCCGAAGCGGGTCGTAAAAGAAATTGCGGCCCGCTTTGCGTGCGAGGCGTGGCGCGGCGGCGGGGCGGTCCTGTCCGGGGCCGAGGCTGGCCGAGGCCCATCCATCCCGTCCATTCCGCTCACGATGTAATCACTGCATTTTGGGGGCGAGCGCGGCGCGGCGCGGCGCGGCGGGTACGTGCCGGTGATGAGGCCCTGTCGCTGTCGGGACACTCCTCCAGGACGTCGCCGCGGAGAGGAGAGAGGGGGAAGGGAAGGGGCACGCCGACGACGCGCTCAATTGTTTTGCACCTCACGTGACTTGATGGCGCGCCGTTTGAACATCCTCGCCGCCGCCGCCGCTCCGTTCCGCGCGTCGTGTCGGCCGGTCAGCTGCTTAGGGGCCTGCCTGGCCTCGCCGACGACGTCGCCGCGCCGCACCACGCCACCGTGAAATGTCATCCCGCCGCCGCACCGGCCGTGATGCAGCAGCAAAAGGCGAAAGGCGTTTTCATCATTGTGGCAAATCGTTAACTGCTTCGCCTTAATTCACTACACTGCACAGTCCGGCTGCGGCCCGGCCAGCACCGCCAGCACGTCGTCGGCGTGCCTGAGTGCTTCCAGTGCCGCCGTCAGTCCGCTGAATGCCGCGCTGCTTTGCCTCGCAGAGGGATTCCGAACTGTGTCGCTCTGTCTCTCTCGCACCCTTCAGGGAGGCCCCACGGGCGCGGGCATGGCGCGAGCGAGACAGAGAGAGCGCGGTGTGCGGCGGTGCGGAGGCAGCCCGCTGCCCTGCTTTGCGGTTTCGGAAGCGCACTGGCGCGGGGCTTTGACGCTCGCCGGCCGCCGGTGCCCGTCGACGGGATTGCGTGTGGTTTGACTTTGGCGTGCGAGTCGTCTGCCGTCCTCTGCTAGCCCCCCAAATAAGAACTAAAAAACGACAAAAAAAAAAAAAAACAAAAAAAAACGTCGCCACCGCGATGAAAAAAGGTTGAGGCCGTTGTAAATCTACCGATAGTTTCCCTGAAGGCGGTGAAGCGGCGGTGGGCCATCTGGCGAGTGCGGTGGCGATGCGCCCCGCCCCGTATCGACGGCCGCTAAATGATTCCCATTGGCCCGCCCGTGTGTGTGCCCTTTAAGCCTTTATGAAGAAATAAATTAGCCGACGGTGTGGGGTCCGCCATAACCTTTTTTCTGACCCAAATTGTTTTATAATGATATCAACGCGATCGGTTATCCGCAAAAGGGGCAACACTACACCGTGGGTCCGTGCGCTGGGCGCTGCTGGACCACCAACAAAGGGTGGGCCTCATAGATCACGCCGCCAGTGCCGGGCCTGGCAGTGGCCTGGCATGCCTGGCAGGGCAGGACAGGCAGCCTCATTGTGCTCGGGGTGCTTCTCGCCGTTCATTACCATCTGCCTATCGATGCCCTCCTCGCCGTGGTCCTGGACTCCCACCTGACGCTCCACTTTTTGGGGGGGTCGTCTTCGGCGTGCTCCGATTTGACCGACCAGCCGCCGGCCGCCGCGACTTCACGAAGCCTCTCTCACTTGGATGTGTTGCTCTGGTTGCGGTGCCCGGGCCTGCCCGGCGAGGTGTGAGGCGGCCGTCGTGTTTACACCGAGATAACGACGGCCTCGTTGTGGGCCAGGACGGCGGGGGTGTCGAGGCGTGGCCCGGCTTATTGACGTCTACCTGGCCAAGCTCCCTTTGAAGGAGCTGCTGCCTTTGTCGGCGGCCGGCGCCTCCTGGGGTCGGTGGCGAGGCCGGCGAGGCACGGTGGGCCAGAAGCCGGTGGAGGCGGCCAAAACTCTAGACGCGTTTTGAGCTCCAGAGTCGCTAAATGGGACTGGAACCGAACGTGTGACCCCATCAATGGATTCCTCGCACGGAGAGCAATCCATTGGTGGGGGTCACACGTTCGGTTCGAGTCCCATTTAGCGACTCTGGAGCTCAAAACGCGTCTAGAGTTTTGGCCGCCTCCACCGGCTTGTGGCCCACTGTGCGAGGCGCCCTGGCCGAGGCGGAGCAGGCCGTGCTGGTGGCGGCTGAGGTGCGAATCGCCACGCCCGGCCACGCCCCTGCCGCCCTGCCGGTCGGGGGATTCGCGTGACATTTAGTCGGCAGAAAGGGCGGCGGTGCGGCGGGGAGACAAAGAGCCGCTTGGCGGCCGCTATTGTGAGGCCGAGGTGCCCGCCGGCCGGTTCCGAACCGCACGGCGTCGCTCTGTCTCTCTCGCACACCTGCGGCGCGGCCCGCGCGTGCGAGAGAGACAGAGCGACGTGCTGGCACACTGCTGGCACACTGCTGGCACACACAAGGCGGCATGGCATGGCCCTCATTTGGGGCCGATTAGCTCCGGGGTCGGCGGGGCTTCAAGGAAGGGCCGTGCTGAGATTGGACTTTGTGGAAGTCGTTAAGCCGCGCGTCGCAGTACGCAGTGTAGGGGCACGTCGCGACGCGTCGCCAACCCTTGCCTCCGCGAATCGCATGCAGGCTGCATGCAGGCGGGCGAACACGCCACCGCCGACCTTGAGGGCGGTACACTGGTGCACTACTACACCATGGGCCCTATTCGCAGCGTGTCATGCGCCTGTCCATACCGCGTGATCGCTTCCGCTCCCACGCCGCCATGCTCCGTCCCTCTCAGTGGAGCAGTCACGGGGCGTGTCGTGCGGGTGCGAGAGAGACAGAGAGAGGACGCCGGGGCAGTCGCGCCACGCGGCGGTGGCAAACTCAGTGCAATCTCAGCCCGACTGCGATACGACCATGACTGCGTGTGTGGCGCCGCCCGGGCCGGCCCCAAGTTTGCTCTGCTTTTGGCGTCTCCTCGGCAAATCGATCACCGCTCCGGCAGGTGGGGCGGCCTCTCCGAGTCCGAATCCGAACCGTGGTTCGTCGCTCTGTCTCTCTCTCTCTCTCGCACCTCGGCGGCACGCCCCGTGAGTGCGAGAGAGACAGAGATCGTTCGGCGTGCCGGTGCGGCGGCAGGCCGTGTGAACCCCGAAGGCAAAGGCGCGCCGACGGGGCCCTTGGGGGGCAGGGCGGCCGGGCGGCAGGGCGCTCCGAGGCCAAGGATCGCCACCTCAACGAGACAAATTGATGGACTCCCGACAGTGTGAAAGCCAAAGCCCCGCCGGCCGGCCGGCCGACCGTCCGGCCGATTCACTGCCGATCATGTAGGCGTATGGCCCATCATCGCGCCGTGTGCGTGCTATGCGCTGCGTGCTGCGCTGCGTGCTTTCGTGCGGGCGGCCGTCTTTTCCGCAGCCCGCACCTTATAGGCTGATTGGGCTGATTGGGGGCGGCGCGGGGCGGTAATAGATTTTCGGAAGGTGTTGTGCTTGGCAGCCCTGGCGCACAGTGGGCCAGAAGACCGGTGCACGGTAAACCGAATGCCTCGAAAACCGGGAGAGCGCCCCGGTTTTGGGTGCGCTGTCTTTTTCTATCTTGTGGAGAGGGAGTGAGACAGCGCATCCAAAACCGGGGCGCTCTCCCGGTTTTCGAGGCATTCGGTTTACCGTGTGGAGGCGGCCAAAACTCTAAACGCGTTTTGAGCTCCAGAGTCGCTAAATAAGCACAGTGGGCCAGAAGCCGGTGGAGGCGGCCAAAA